CCCTCATGTCAACCCTGACTTACAAACACCCTCCTTTATTAGTCCTGGGATAACATGCCTTGAGGGAGCCCAGGATAGGAGCAGACTTCCAGCAGGACTCGGTGGCTACCGGGTTGAAACAGAGGCCCTTCCAGGAGAAGACCCACCAGGAGTGAGAATCGCAATGGGGACTCCTGAAATAAATCCGTGAGCCTGTGGAACCGACTGCTTGCACGGGACATAAAAGCCAACGTTTCCCCTGAGCCCCACCAACGGTGTTATTCCCCTCGCTCAGCTGGCCCTCCTGTCCATTCCTGCTCAGTTTGGGACTTCTTCAGACCTCCAAGGAAACCGGCTTAGCTTCCTGTTGGCAAACCAGGGATTTGAACCCGCGATTTGCGGAGGGCCGAGGCGTTCCCCATTGCAGGAGTCTGAAAGGAAGCTGTCAATTTCTTTATCGGCCAAGTCTTTCTTTCTGCTCTTTCCTTTCTTTTTTCCTATTTCTTTTGGTGTCGGCCCTTCCACGAATCCGGACTTCGATCCCTCCTCTATTATTCTGCCTGACCTTATCAAAACACCCTGACAACCTGCTGGTGTCAGAAGCGAGCAATCGCATCCCGAAGGCCCCTGGACTCAACCCCCGAAAGACTGGCTTCCAGGGCAATCTTTGATCTCCATTCCGCAAAATATTACCGGAGATTTATGGCTGACCTTTCCCGCTCCAACATTTCACACCTAAAACAACAGGCCGGGAAGTGCCAAAAAAAGAGGAGAAAATGGTTTTGCCTGCTTTGTAGAATCCGATATGCTAGTTTGTTTTTTTTCAAGATTTGCGCGCGCGCTCTCTCTCTCAAAACAAACCTTTCACCTTTTTTGCACAACTGCCCAGGCAGGCAATTCAAGGGAATTAATTTATGCAAAGCTATTCGGTTTCTCTGCTGCCCCCCCCCACCCCACCCACCCCCTTCCCACAGTTTTCATAAAAGCCTCGTGGAACTGCAGCCAGTCGTGGTCATCGCGATACTTAAAAAAGATTTCGAACTTAAAAAAAAAACCAGAAGATCCGACTTACCAGAGGGGGCATTATATGATTAAATATCTGTTTGAATAGGGTTAAAATGATAGAGAACTCTTAGATATAAATAGACTTTTATAATAAGAAAGATAGGGGGTATAATTAGAATTGGATATGGGAAATATGAAAACACCAGGATGGCTTGTATCAATGAAATTCTTAGCTACGCAAATGTAACTAATTTAGAGAAAATCGTAACGGACAAAAGATATTCGGAATAACGATGGGAAATTAAATTTAAACAAGAGCTTGAAAAACAGGCGATGGATCTAACAAGGAGACTTTAATTTCAAATACAACTGAAATATAAACTGGTTTAGAATAGAGGTTATAAACGGATATGATTGTTGTTTGTACAACCTCGGAGTCCTAGTAGACAATCACCTAAATATGAGCCAGCAGTGTGCTGCAGCTGCCAAAAAGGCCAACCCAGTGCTAGGCTGCATTAACAGAGGGAGAGAATCAAGATCACGTGAAGTGTTAATACCACTTTACAACCCCTTGGTGAGGCCACACTTGGAATACTGCATCCAGTTTTGGTCACCACGATGTAAAAAAGATGCTGAGACTCTAGAAAGAGTACAGGGAAGAGCAACAAAGATGATCAGGGGACTGGAGGCTAAAACATATAAAGAACGGTTTCTGGAATTGGGTATGTCCAGTTTAATGAAGAGAAGGACGAGGGGGACATGATAGCAGCCTTCCAGTATCTCAGGGGCTGCCCCAAAGAAGAGGGAGTCAAGCTCTTCTCCAAAGCGCCTGAAGGCAGGACAAGAAGCAGCAGATGGAAACTGATCAAGGAGAGAAACAACCTGGAATTAAGGAGAAATTTCCTAACTGTGAGAACAATTAATCAGTGGAACGACTTGCCTTCAGGAATTGTGGGTGATCCGACACTGGAGGTTTTAAGATTTGTCTGAAATGGAATAGGGTCTCCTTCTTCTGCATGGGGTTGGACTAGAAGACCTTTGAGGTCCCTTCCAACTGCGTTAAGCCAGGGCTTTAATGCTACTTTAACATGGCTGCAGTCTTTTCTTTCCTCCCTCAGAGTCACACTGGGGAGAGAAGAATTCATGCTCTAACCATGTTTTAGGGGTAGTTTAGCTTTATAATTATTCACCTTTGCATTGGGGGAATGACAACGCCTCTTATTTACAATTTTCCCCAAAGTAGGTTAGGATTTTGCTTAAGAGTCTCAAGCAAGGCGGGGATTATAGGATTTGAAATGGAAAAAAAACATCCACAGGGCGCCAGTTCAAGAAGATACTGATAAACCGTTGCTGCTGAATTTATTAGCTACGGAATTAATCGTAATCCATGCTTTAATTCTACCAGAGCATCCCATACATTTGCTCTGAGGGTGGTCCTCGACTTACAACGGTTCATTTAGCGATGGTTCGGAGTTACTTGTGACTCTTTTTCACACTTACGGCCGTTGTGGCATCCCCGTGGTCACGTGATCAAAATTCGGAGACTTCGCAACCGACTCATATTTATGACGGTTTTGCAGTGTCCCCCGGGGTCACGTGATCCCCTTTCGCCACCTTCTGATCCAGCTAAGTCAAGGGGGAGGTCCAGATTCGCTTAACAACTGTTTTACAAACTTCACAAGCACAGTGATTCACTTAACGACCGTGGCAAGAAAGGTCGTAGAGCGGGGCAAAACCCACTGAACCGCTATCTCGCTTAGCAACAAAAACTTTGGGCTCAATTCTGGCCGTATATATTTGCCAATGTTGCATTCATAGCAGTCTTACTCTCTTGTAATCCCTTTCTCTGGACTCTCTCCACTATAGGAGGTAAGAGGAAAAAAAACAAAACAGGCATGGCTGGCTGGGGAATTCTGGGAGTTGAAGTCCACACCTCTTAAAGCGGCCAAGTTTGAAAAACACTGTTGTAAAACCAGACCAAATGACCCACGGAAACAGCCTAATGATGGTCTGTTTGCCAATGTTGCATTCATATCGGTCTGATTTAACATCAGGGAGAAACCAATGCAGGACAGCTCACCAACATGTGAAGTTTGTTAAACTGGCTGCCGTGTTAATCACCTTTCAATGCCAAGGTTTTCAGCGACGCTAACTAGCATCTGTGCTTAGTTTGGCTTAGACAAGTCCAGCGCTCCGCCGTTACATGGTTAAGGGTGGAAGGCAGTTGCACCCCACCTCCCCCAAATAAGCAGTCGATTGGAGCTATGGAATATTGGAACCACTGGTCCGAAAAAAGAAGATCTGTCAATCAACAGGAAATGACAGCCAATAATACTGGAACTTGCAGCCTGGCAAGGGAAGAGAAATGCGATTGGAGAAAGAAAAGAAACGCCAAGGGTTGGCAAGAGCCAGGCAGGATTCTGGAATACTGTAGGGGGTGGGATTCGGAGGGAGGGGAGCGAAACAGCCTTTAACGATGACATCAGGTTTTAAGTTTGGCCTTCCTAAAATGCAGGGGAAATAAGGAGAGCGACGGGATACTCATGACAAGCAACTTAAATTTAGGAATAAAGGAAATGTATGAAATGGACTCCAGAAGATGGTAGAGGACAGGAAGACCTGGAGGAATGTTGTCCATGGGGTCGCGATGGGTCGGACACGACATCGCAATTAACAACAATTAACAACAACAATGAAAAGGTCAGCAGAGACGAGTCCTTCTCCACCAGTAAAACACATAGAATAGAACTGGAAGGGACCTTGGAGGTCTTCTAGTCCAGCCTGCTGCTCAAGCAGGAGAATATATACCATTTCAGACAAGTGACTGTCCAATCTCTTCTTAAAAACCTCCAGTGATGGAGCGCCCATGATTTCTGGTGGCAAGCTGTTCCACTGGTTAATTGTCCTTACCCAAGAGACTTCAGCCCCGACTGGCAAACATTATTGTGGGGTTATCTTTTGGGATGACAATAGAGGTAGTCCTCGGCTTATGACCAGAAGGGAGGCCCAAATTTCTACTGTTCAGTGAGACATTTGTTAAGTAAGTTTTGTCCCTTCTTACGACCTTACTTGCCACGGCGGTGAAGCGAATCATTGCGCTTGTTCAGTTAGTCACATGGTTGTGAAGTGAATCTGGTTTCCCCCGTTGACTTGGCTTGTCCGAAAGACACAAAAGGGGATCACAGGACCTTGAGAAAAAGCAACCGTCATAAATATGAACCAGTTGCCAAGCATTTGAATTTTGATCGCGTGACCATGGGGGTGCTGCAATGGCCGTTAAGTGTGAAAAACGGTCATAAGTTACTTTTTCCAGTGCGGGTGTAACTTAACAACTGCAGTGGTTCACTGAATGACTGTGGCATGGTTGTGTAATGGAGCAAAACTCACTTAACAACTGTCTCGATTAAGAACAAAAAATTTGGGCGCAATTCTGGCCATACGTCGTGGACTACCTGTATATATTTGCCAATGTTGCATTCATATCCCTCTGATTTAATATCAGGGAGAAGCCAATCAATGCAGGACAGCTCACCAACTTATGCAGTTTATTAAACTGGCTGCCATGTTACTCACGGTCACTAAAGGAATAAGTCGTAAGTTGAAGACTACCTATACTAATGCCAAGCAGATTCCTATAAAACAATTATTTTTCAAACTGGGCCACTTTAAGTTGTGTGGACTTCAGCTCCCAGAATTCCCCAGCCGGCATAGCTTACTCTCTGTAATCCCTTTCTCTACACTCTCTCCACTATAGGAGGTAAGAGAAAAAAAAGCAAAACAGGCATGGCTGGCGGGGGAATTCTGGGAGTTGAAGTCCACACATCTTAAAAGGGGCCATGTTTGAAAAAGGCTGTTGTAAAACCAGACCAAATGACCCACGGAAACAGCCTAATGGTGGTCTGTTGTGCCACGGAGTCAAATTTCTGGCTAGGCACGTCACGTGCGTCAATCTTCAACACTCAAAAGAGGCTGAATGTTGTTTGAAGGTGGCTGTGAGGCCTTAAGATCCTTCTTACCTTTTGCACCAGGTAAACACTTGTGGCTCTTTCGCTCGCAACGTCATCCAGGGCGGTGCCTTCCGGGACGAAATAACTCACATCCGCGATGTGAACGCCAACTTCGAAGTTCCCTGAAAGGGCAAAAGGGGATCGTTCATGAGGCTGGCTGCGGCATTCTGGGAGTTGAAGTCCAGACATTGGAAAGTGGACAAGATTGAAGAATACTGTTATATCGTGCAATGTGGAATTCCTGGCTTCCACTTGAGAAAAAGAAAACTGTAAGGAAATACAAGCAAATGCGGGTAACTCTCGACGTTACGACGGTTCGTTTAGTGTCCATTCAAAGTTACCAAAAAAAGGACTTATAACCATTTTCACACTTAATAACTATGTTATTAACTTAACCACTGCAGTGATTCCCTTAACAACTGTGGTAAGAATGGTCGTAAAATGGGGCAAAAATCCACTGAACAACTGTCTCGCTTAGCGACAGAACTTTGGAGCTCAATTGTGTTCGTAACTCAAGGACTCCCTGTGTGATAAAAACCAAGGCATCACGCGCCTACTTGAGAATGTTCTAACTCCTGTTTAGAGAGACCCCCCTTCCAATCCCTGCTCACGGCCACCCGACCCCTAGTCCCCTCTTGCTTTGACTACTGCAATCAGCTCTACGTGGGGCTGCCCTTGAAGAGGGTGCGGAAACTTCAAAAATCAGTTCAAAATTCAGCCAATTCATGCTGGCTGACGAATTCTGGGAGTTGAAGTCCACCCGGCTTAAAATGGCCAAGGTTTATTTATTTATTTATTTATTTATGAGACTTATATACCGCTTTAAGTGCAAGCACTCTCTAAGCGGTGTACACCAGTAAGCAATGTATATATATATATTTACATTGCCCCCAACAATCTGGGTCCTCATTTTACCTACCTCGGAAGGATGGAAGGCTGAGTCAACCTTGAGCCGGTGAGATTTGAACCGCTGACCTGCTGAACACAGGTTGAGAAACACCAGTCTGTGTAGGCAGCTGGTCGGTCAAGGCCTAAACAAGGCCATCAATCTCAAGAGCAAAACTAAATGTCTTCGCAGATTCTTAGTCATCCAGGTCATGGTTTGTCCCAAAGATGCTTTTTTCAAGAGGTAACTGGACTTTCTTGTTTTTCCTTGGAAGACCTTTTGCTTCTCATCCCAGAAGCTTCTTCAGCTCTGACTGGATGGTGGGGAATGGAAGGATTTATACTCCTTGCAGACAGCTGGTCATTTGCATCCTTTAAGAGAGTCGTTGAGGCCACTTGGAGGTTTACCTGTGTCCTTGGGGACACCTGAGTGGTGTAAATGGGTGTGGAGCCTTCCTGGAACTGCTAAAGGACTCTGTTGTAGACTGGAGATAGGTGATGTCCCTGAGGACACAGACAAACTTCCAAGTGGCCTCAACCACCCTCTAAAAGAAGGCAAATGACCAGCGGTCTGTAAGGAGTATAAATCCTTCCATTTCCCCACCATCCAGTCAGAGCTGAAGAAGCTTCTGGGACGAGAAGTGAAACGTCTTCAAAGAAAAAACAAGGTAGTCCAGTTGCCTCCTGAAAAAAAGCACCTTTGGGACTCGAGAGCAAAGCAGCCTGAGGCAAACAGTTGCAAAAGGGCTAGGAGGAAAGGAAGGAAGGAAGGAAGGAAGGAAGGAAGGAAGGAAGGAAGGAAGGAAGGAAGGGAGGGAGGGAGGGAGGGAGGGAGGGAGGGAGGGAGGGAGGGAAAGGAAAGAAAGGGAGAAAGAGAAAAAGAAAGAAAGGAAAAAGAGAAGGAGAAAGAGAGAGAGAAGAAAAGGGAAAGAGAAAAAGAAAGAAAGAAAGAAAGAAAGAGGAGAGAGAGAGAAAGAGAAGAAAAGAGAGAGAGAGAAAAAGAAAGAAAGAAAGAAAGAAAATGAGAGAAAGAAAAAGAAAAAGAAAGAAAAAGAAAGAGAAAGGAAGGAAAAGAAAGAAAGAAAGAGGAGAGAGAAGGAAAGAAAGAGAAAGAAAAAGAAAGAGAGAAAGAGAAACAGAGAAAGAGAGAAAGAAAAACAGAGAAAGAAAGAAAGAAAGAAGGAAACAACAAGAAAGAGAAAGAAAGAGAAAAGAAAGAGAAAGAAAGAAAAAGAGAGAGAAAGAGAGAGAGAAAGAAAGAGGAGAAAGAGAAGGAAAGAGAAAGAGAGAAAGAAAGAGGAGAGAAAAAAAATGAGAGAAAGAGAAAGAAAAAGAAAGACAGAGAAAGAAAGAGAGAAAGAAAAAGAAAGAGAGAAAGAGAGAAAGACAGAGAAAGAAAGAAAGAAAGAAAGAAAGAAAGAAAGAAAGAAAGAAAGAAAGAAAGGAAAGGAGAGAGGAGAGAAAAAAGAAAGAGAAAAAAGAAAAAGAAAGACAGAGGGAGAAAGAGAGAGACAGAGAGAGAGAGAGAAAGAAAGAAAGAAAGAAAGAAAGAAGAGAGAAGGAAAGAAAAAGAGAGAGAAAAAAGAAAAAGAAAGAGAAAGAAAGAGGAGAAAGAGAGAGAGAGAGAGAGAGAGAGAGAGAGAGAGAGAGAGAGAAAGAAAAAGAAAGAAAGAGATAAAAAACCCTTCCTTTTTGAAGTCCCCATCCTCATCTCTTGACCCCAGAGGATAAATATTGACGGAAGGAAAAGGGAGAGGGGCCGTGACATCATGGCATTGACGGCTGCCTGATCCCATCCGCCAAGGGCCCTGAACTCCCTGTCCTCAGCCGAATGTTGACAAACCCAGCGAAGAAATCCCGTTCGGGGAGATAATCAAACACGGAAGCTGCCAAGCTAAACTCTCCCTTTACCGCTGAGGCTCAGGATTCCCATCAGAGGTTTTGAAAAGCACAGGGGTTGCCCGGAGCCTCCACCCTCTGCCTTTCCACACTTGAACTTGTGCAAAAAAGAAAAGAAAGGAAAAGAAACACCCTTTATTTAGTTCCATCTCTGGGATCGCATCAAATCACGCTGAGATTCGTCCTTCCCGAGCCGGGAGATTGGACAATGGAGATCATTGGAAGGAATTATAACTCCTTGCAGACCGCTGGTCATTTGCCTTCTTTCAGAGAGTCGTTGAGGCCACTTGGAGGCTTATCTGTATCTTCGGGGTTACCTGAGTGGTGCAGATGGGGGTGGAGCCTTCTTGGGACCGCTGAAAGGACTGTGTTGTAGACTGGAGATAGATGATGTTGTATCTCTCCCCTTCTTTTGAGAGAGGGCTGTTCAATTTAGACATAGGCCTCCAGGTGGCTTCAACGACCCTCTGAAAGAATGCAAATGACCAGCCGTCTGCAAGGAATATAAAGAAGCAAGGAAGCTTCTTCAGCTCTGACTGGGAGATGGGAAATGGAAGGATTTATACTCCTTGCAGACAGCTGGTCATTTGCCTTCTTTTAGAGAGTCGTTGAGGCCACTTGGAGGCTTATCTATGTTCTAAGGGTCACCTGAATGGTGCAGATGGGTGTGGAGCCTTCTTGGGACCACTGAAAGGACTGTGTTGTAGACTGGAGATAGATGGTGTCGTATCCCTCACCCTCTGTTGAGAGAGGGCTGTTCAATTTTGACATTGGCCTCCAGGTGGCCTCAACGACCCTCTAAAAGAAGGCAAATGACCAGCAATCTGCAAGGAGTATAACTCCTTCCATTCCCCACCATCCAGTCAGAGTTGAAGAAGCTTCGGGGATGAGAAGCAAAACGTCTTCAAAGGAAAAGCAAGAAAGTTCAATTGCCTCCTTGAAAAAGAACCTTTTGGGACTCTAACACAAACAGACAATCACATCTGCCGACCCCAGGTCCTTGGCAAGGGCTCCATAGGTGGACAAAAAGGCCAAATCCAGACTGAACATCTGTCTGATGAACCACATTCACGCTGAAGTCTTTCCAGAACTGTCCATTATCTACTACCTTTTGGCTCACCCTAGTCAACTCCACAGACAATGATGGAAGTGTGTGGCAACAGGGTGCAGCAGCAGCCAAAAAAGCCAACACAATTCTAGGCTGCATCAACAGAGGGATAGAATCAAGATCACGTGAAGTGTTAGTACCGCTTTACAAGGCCTTGGTAAGGCCACACTTGGAATACGGCATCCAGTTTTGGTCACGACGATGTAAAAAAGATGCGGAAACTCTGGAAAGAGTACAGAGAAGAGCAACAAAGAGGATCAGGGGACTGGAGGCTTAAACCTATAAGGAACAGTTGCAGCAATGGGGTATGTCTAGTTTAATGAAGAGAAGGACGAGGGGGGACATGATAGCAGTCTTCTAATATGTCAGGGGCTTCCCCAAAGAAGGGGGGGGGGTCAACCTATTCTCCAAAGCCCCTGAAGGCAGGACAAGAAGCAACGGATGGAAACTAACCAAGGAGAGAAGCAACCTAGAATTAAGGAGGAACTTCCTGACAGTGAGGACAATCAACCAGTGGAACCGCTTGCCACCAGAAGCTGTGGGTGCTCCATCAGTGGAGGTTTTTAAGAAGAGACTGGACAGCCATTTGTCTGGAATAGTGGGGGGTCTCCTGCTTGAGCAGGAGATTGGACTACAAGGTCCCTTCCAGCTTTATTCTGATTGATTGATTGATTGATTGAATCTCCTGCTGTTTTTCCTAAGTCGTCAATCCTCTATACCAGCTCTGTGACCTGCAATTGATTCTTCCAGTGCAGGAGCCAGCTCATTAGTAACAGTTAATATTTTAGCTCATCCTAACTATTTTATTTCACAGGAGAAGATAATATTTTGCTGCTGCTGGACTACAGCATTCGGAGTCAAGAGACAGCCTGGGATCCATGGAAGATGCCTAAATGTTTTACAGTACATTATCAAAGGTTTTGACACTCCGCAGCAGTGTTTTAAAAAAAAAAATCTGTAAAACTTTTCTCTAGCCCATTGCTTAAACCAGTGGTTCTCAACATTTTTAATGCCGCGACTCCCAACCGGTCGTAAGTCGAGGACTACTCAACCGGTCGTAAGTCGAGGACTACTCAACTGGTGCAGCACCGTTTACAGAATGGGACTTTTGGCGGGCTCAGCAGGGCAGAGACAGCCTGGACACTTCCTATTGGCTTTTGAAAGCCAATAGAATTAGACTCTATTCAAGAGAGTCTATTCTATTGGCTTTCAAAAGCCAACAGAATAAAA